GGGATCTAACTGTTTCTGACTCCCCTCTCCAGCTCTGGGATTACAGGCATATGTTACAGTCCTGGGCGTTGTTGTTGTTGTTGTTGCTGTTTTACATGCACCTGGGGGTGAACACAGGGTCTCATGTTTGCAGAAGAAAGTGCTTTATTGACCAAGCTATCTCCCCAGGCCAAGTCCTAAAGACTTCTTTTTGGTTTTACTTAAAAAAAAATAAAAAAAAAAAGTGGCAATTTTATGACTAATACTAAACGCTGGCTCTTTCTACAATGGCCAGACCTAAGCCAAACTAGAACTTTTGGCTTTTTTTGTCACTTAACCCGTTTTACAAAAATGGACTACTCACCTTTTCGAGGAATGCTCAGTGTGCTTCATTATAGAAGTATAAAAGAAAGAAAGCACGTGATTTTTGTAGCAAGTCTATATTTCTTTTATTACTTTCCTTCTTCCTAAACAATCCCTTCCACCTCCTTTGCCCTGAATTTTCAAAGACAGAGAGATTGTGCTTCCAGAGTACTGAAAACTTTGGAGGGGATCAAGAATGTTCCAGCTTTTATTTCATTTATTCTAAAAGAAATTATTCAAAGAACATAGTAACATAGAAATGTAAGGGCTTAAAATATTCAGTGCTAGTTTCCACGAATCTCTCTTAAATCACCCCAATTTTACAGTCATTTTCAAAACAAATATCATGAACTATATACACATAGTTTTAATTTCATGTTAGAAGTCTAACATAAAAAATTTTACAATTAAAACTTGAAGTTCTAAACAAGTTAAGCAGTTGTTTGCCCAGACCTTATTTTTGCTTAAATTGGTATTCTCAAGCTACAGTATGTTAAAATAAAATGTCTCCTGTCACAAATTGAAATCAGAAGACCAAGTTTTAAATTCGTGATTCAAATGTGCTTGTGCCGTCCACCTGTGCTCGGCCAGCCGGCAGAGCGGCAGCCTGCAGCAGCCTGTAGTGAGACAGTACCTTGGGGACAGGATGTGCGGGAGAGACTGCAGCCGGTGAAACCACATGGTGGGAGATATCCCTTTGTCTCCAGAAAAAGAAATGTCTTCTTTGTTGACTGCCTGACCGCTTGTGTGGGCAGATATGATTGAGTGGAGGAGACAGAATTCTCTGACAACCTGTGAGCAGAGATAGAGCTATTTCAGGTTAGGAAGAAAGAAAGGATGTTAACGGGACTGCCCGGGAAGGTGTCGCTACCTATTAGATCATTAGTCTCCTTCTTTATTGACTCAAAAAAGAAAGCCCCCAAAAGAAACAGGGGCTGCAGTATTCTGGGCTCTGGTACACAGTAGCACACCATATTGACTAACTAGCACCGTTTACATAAATTTCTGACGGTGGAAAGCTTTACTCTAATAGGAAATAAACATACCGACGATGTGCCTCACAGCGGGTGTGGAAAAGAACAATTTCTGCTGCGGGGCCTTGTGTGACGATGTCCAGATAACCCCAGAATTCAGGGCACTACTTTGGTGGCTCTATACTCTTTAAAACTATTTTCCCTTCAAAAGCCACAGACAAATTGCCAGCTGCACTTTTGGCCTCCGTGGGATTGAGACTGTGTGTTAAGTTCTTTCGAGTGAAGGCATAATACCGAAATTCATTGTGACGAATGCTCAAGTTGGTCCAAATAGCAAAAATGTAAGTATAACCAAAGAAAATGAACATAGAGATTTAGAGGTCTTCATTAAAATATTAAAAGCACATCTTTGACTTAGTAATTTATCTCTTCAAATGTCCTATGGATAATACAATTTGAAATGATAAATGTATGGCACCATACTCTTACTTAACAACTATTTGGACAAAAAATCGTGAAGCAGCCTGATTCCAAATGGGATGTATCAACAGGGGATGGGCTAAACATATAATATAGTCTATCCTCCCAACAGAAAATTCTTGGGCCATCAAGAAGAACAGAGCTAACTATGGCAGCACACACCCATAATCCTAGCACTTGAGAAGCAGAGGCAGGAGTGTCAGTTCAAGGCCATCCTCGGCTACATGTGAGTTTAAGGTCATCTTGGGCTACATGGGACCCTGACTCCGGAGAGTAGAAAAAGGAGGAGGCGCTACATGGGCTCTGCGCATTGATTGGCAGGGCCACAAGACAGTGTTACGTTATGGAAAGCACAAGCTGAGCGACATCCATAGGAAGCGTGTCAAGTGCAGGCGAGAGTGGACATGGTCGAAATGCATTGCCCACAGGTAAGAAATTCATAAAGAATAAATTATAAAATCATGTTCAAATAGGAAACCCATTAGTGTAAAAGAAGGTGCTGGAATAGTTATTTATATAAGCATGTAGATATCTATACACTTCCAAAATTAATATTCATCAATAGTGTGTGATAGAGCAAGAGGTGAGAAGACTAAAAGCCATCTGCTTCTCCATAAATAAATAAATGGAGAAATATCCACTTTCATTACTATTACAATAAAAGTAATAGTTGAGACAAATCTTTCACAGGCCACAACTACATGAAGAGTTGGCGAACGGCAGATCCCTGTATACTGCTTAACATCTAAAATGTTTTTGGTTTTTTGGGTTTTTTTTTTTTTTTGGTTTTTTGGTTTTTGGGTTTGTTTTTTGTTTTTTGTTTTTTGTTTTACATTTATAGTGGTTGGGAAAAATCAGAAGAAATTGTATCTTACAAGATAAAATTGTGTGGAATTCAAGTTCCATACCTACCCTCAGTTATTTACAACTGGTCATGACTGTCCCTAAACTAAGACAGAGCTGATTAGCCATGACAAAGACACATGGACAAAAACAAACAAATAAAAACAAACAAACAAAAGGCTGTCATCTGGTCTGAGGGTGGAGTGTCCTCTGGAAAAGAAGCCTGGAACTTCTGGAGAGCTGTCTCAATCCTACCACTTGCTGGCTCTCTATGTGCCCCAATGTGTGAGAATCAACTGGAACAAGAAATGTGGAAGTATGCCATGTTTAGCAGAGGCTAATAATCAACAGCTTCTTCATGGACATATGAAAAGTAAAACGGGGGGCGGGGGGAGGCTGGAGAGATGGCTCATCAGTTAAGAGTACTGGCTGATCTTCCGAAGGTCCTGGGTTCAATTCCCAGCACACCTAGCAGCTCACACCTGTCTGTAGCTACAGTTACAGGGAATCTGACCCCTCACACAGACAGACAAGTGGGCAAAACACCAATGAACATGAAATAAAAGTAAATAAAAAACAAAGGTAAAGAAAAACATACAGTAAAATGTGAAGTAAACTTTAAGCTCCTGAAAGAGCTTTAACACTAAACGCCATGTCAGCTTCTGAACAAGGTGTTTTACATCTCCTGGCTCATTTGTCTTCACAAGAGCCCTGTGAGTTCAGAACTGTACTATATTCACTTTTAACTTTTTTTTTTTTTTTGGTTAACTTTTATGTATTTGGATGGTTTGCTTGCATCATCTGGTAGAGTGCCTGCAGAAGCCAGAAGATTTTGAATCCTCTGAAATCGTAGTTAAAGATGGTTGTGAGCTGCTATGTGCTAGGAATTGAAAGCAGGTCCTCTGGAAGAGCAGCCAGTGCTCTTAACTGCTGAGCCATCTCTCCAGCTACTGTTACTATATTTTATAGGGGAAAATACCAAGTGTGAAGCAGGATATGCAGTAAGGACCAAAGCTGAGGTAAACTCCCCAATCACCTCTCTCTGAGTTATTTCAATAAAATTAGCTAATATATGGAAACATCCAGAAAAATGGAGAAGATATCACCAAATCACTGTTCACTAATATTTTTTTTTTCCAGAATGTGTCAATGGGCTTACCAAACCTCCTTCCCTGAGCACACATGCTTCAGTGAGACAGTTGGGCATTCTGCCATATGCAATGGAAAATCTGGAGACTGGAATCACTCTATGATTCTACCCCCCTAGTTGTACCCTAACAAAGGCCAACGTATAAAATGCAGTACTCCCATCCTGAGGAGAGTGCATACTACGATTACAACTAATAACACCAGTATCAAGAAAGATGCAGCGGCTCAGCCAGATGTGGTGGCGCCTGCCTTTGATCCCAGCACCCAAGAGGCAGAGGCAGGTAGGCAAGAGAGTTTGAGGCCAGCCTGGTCTATAGAGCGAGCTTCAAGACTACATAAAGA